AAATCTCAAAATACTTTTATAAATTAAAAGCAAAAAACGAGGTAAATTATTCTGTAACTCATTCTTTATCAGTTTTTAGGGTTCCCGAATATAAATCTAAAGTTTTTTTTTTAAAATCCAAAATGGCGAATTCAATATGGCGGACGAAATTCAAATTTGATCAGATTCGATTAAAACTTGTTACTCGGGGGTTTTTAGGGTCGCTGATTACGAATCTGAAGTCACTTTTTAAAAATTCAAAATGGCGGATCCAATATGGCGGAAAAAATTTTCAAATTTGATCCGATTCCCTTAAAACGTGTTACTCGGGGGCTTTTGGGATCGCAGATTATGAATATGAAGTTACTTTGTAGAAATTCAAAATGGCGGATCAAATTTTTTAATTTGATCAGATTTAATTAAAAAGTGTTACTCAGTGGTTTTTAGCGTATCTGATTATGAATTTGAAGTCTCAAACACAAAGTAACTTCATATTCATAATCTGCGACCCCAAAAGCCCCCGAGTAACACGTTTTAAGGGAATCAGATCAAATTTAAAAAATTTTCCGCCATATTGGATCCGCCATTTTGAATTTTTAAAAAGTGACTTCAGATTCGTAATCAGCGACCCTAAAAACCCCCGAGTAACAAGTTTTAATCGAATCTGATCAAATTTGAATTTTGTCCGCCATATTGAATTCGCCATTTTGGATTTTTAAAAAAAAACTTTAGATTTATATTCGGGAACTCTAAAAACTGATAAAGAATGAGTTACAGAATAATTTACCTCGTTTTTTGCTTTTAATTCATAAAAGTATTTTGAGATTTTTGGACCTTTTGACTTTTGATAGTTCTATTGGCATCGGAAATGGAATTTTGCAAAAAACGCCCATCGGCATCTTAAAGTACATGAACGTAGAAATCTTTTAAGCCCTAGAACGTTTAAATCCATCAAAGCAATTTTTGTTTAGAGCTCTGTCCGTGTTGACGTGGAATGTCCCATATACATTAAATAAATATATTAAATAATGTTAAAATAATGGTCCGAATGTTTTGATTTATTTACCTACTTTTGCTGTATAATTAATTCAATAATTATACCAATTTGAAAAATGAGAACCTTTGTTAAGTTAAAAGAACAATTTTTATAATAGAATAATGTATTCTGAAATGTAAAAAATAAATTTGAAAGATTTTATATGAATATATAAATTTTCATGAGACTTTACCAAAATTAGAAAGATGTACCAAAATTTTTATAGGTTATGTGTTCACACATTTCAGAAATAGTCAAGAATTTCAGAAATGGTCACAGCTTCGAAAATGGTGGAAGTAAAGTGGGAGGAGCTTGGAAAGTATTTGGTTAGGAATGGTGAGAAACGTTCGAAAACGTCAGAAGTGGTGAGACTGTTCAGGAATGTTCAGAAATTGTGACCATTCATGACGATTCCTGATTTTATTTTTAGTAGGGTAACAGAATGGTCAACACAGGGTAGAAATTTGGAATAAGGACTTTTTTCCTTTAATCTACTCTGAAAAGAATTGTGCTTACCAGTCATCACTGCAGCGTTATCAGTGGCTAAACCTGCGATATTTTTTAAAGGAATTTGCTTTTGTTCTAAAACTTTTTCAAAGGTTGTAAACAAAGCAGAAGAAGAACAATCACTTAAATCTAAATTAATTTGTTGCAGTAACTCTACTCTGATTTGAAATGTTGAGGGTTCTACATATCTAACTAAAACTGGTAACCATTTCTCATTGCAAATGTCGCTGGCCTCATCTACATATACTGAAAAAGGGGTTTCTTTTAAAACATTAGCAATTCGATTTTCCTCGACTTTGCAAAGAACATTATTTGCAATAGCAGTCATTTTAGTACGACCTAATTTTACTGCTTTTAGTAAGAGAGGATCCATATCCTTGAAAATCTGAATTACTTCTGAAAACACTTTAAATGGTATGTTATGTTCTACAAATAACGCAGTTATTCTGATTTTAGATTCTTTCACTTTTTTATTAAAAGTCAAAGAATCATCGGAATCTATAATAAATGTGTTATTCGAAGACGGAACTTCTGAATTTTGTACAAAATCGACGTTTTTATGATCAGTTACTGCAACTTCCTGATCACCATCTGAATGGTTAGTTAGAGTAGCCTCTTCATTCCAAATTAAATCAATTCCGAAAGATTTCGATTTTTCCAAAAATTTAAGATTTGTTTGATGCATAGAAGAAGACTCATGTCTTTTAATATTTGCCTTTCCACAAATCATTACTTTAGAACAAATTTTACACTGATACTTTGTTTTATTGGCTACTCTAATTAACCATTCTCTCCATGAAGGAAATTCGTCAAACCAAGATTCCTGAAAATATGTAGGTGTTTTCTTGATTTTTTTTGGCGGCTCTCCTTCATTTTGAGACAAAGAATCACACATTGTGACAGTGCTACTTGCATTTGGATCCATATTTCAATATGGAAATGCCTGAAGAATATCGAAAATATTTTTTCAAAAACTTACCTAGCGCAAAAACAAATTGAATTATCCTCAAAAAACTACACCGATCTCACTACAATAAAAGAACACTCTAGAAGGACTAAAACTGAACAAACCTAACCTGCACTCTTGAAACTTAGCTTTCTTTTCCGCAGCGCGGAAGGAAAAAAGACACCACCAAAACCCACTTGATTCTAACCGATCCGTTTTTCAAAGTATAAAATAAATCACAAGAAGAATAAAAAGAATATAAAACCTCACACAAAAATGAACAACAATGACCGTTGAACTTATTAATATTTATCGAATCGTGTAAAATGCTCTACGTCGCGTTTGGATGCCAGTAGCGGGCCTAATGAGAGCCATCGCCGTTTCCCGCAGTAGTCAGAAAAAACAAAAGACTGCGTCAAAACATATGTGTATATATGGGCAATTCCACGTGAAATTTTCCTATGACATTTTAAAAGTAGCATGATTTATATTCATTCTTTAATTATTTATTTATTTATACCTAATAATTTGCAGAAAATTTTCCCATAAGTCCCGAGATAAAATGAATAGAAATTATAAACAAGTTGTTCATTTTATGACCATTTAGCTTCCTCAATATATAAAAATTGCGGTTTTGCAAACTTTTGAAAAATTATGTACAAAAGGGTTCGTCCAGAAGATTTGTTAAAAATAAAATTATATAAATCATTTATAAGTTGTTGTATAAATATTTGGTGAAATTTACACTTTCATTTGCCAATTGCTTCTATTTTATGATAGAATAATCATTTCAAAATATTAATATTAATATTAAATTAATTATGAAAAAAATACAAAATTTAAATTTTTTGTGAAAAAGAAAAATATTTATTAATTTTATAAATTTTGATAAAATATATACTTTGTATACATCAATCGATTCGTTTTCTTGCCAGGAATGTAATTTTGAGAATAATTAATAAAAATATTAACGAATAAAAAAATTATTTCAGTAAATACAAAAAAAAAATTTTCTGAATTTTAAAAAAATTGTATAAAAAAAAATTTTGTAGATATTTTTGAAAATCCTTGTGTCAGATTTCAGGTATTAATGACTGCAATAAACCTGCAAAATTTCAGGACAATCCATCAAAATTTGTCTGAGATAATTTGTACACAATTTTTGTGACATACACACACACATACACACATACACACACATACACACACACATACATCTGGACGTTTGCTCATAATTGAATATACATATGTTCTAGATGAAAATGAGTCCATATAAACTTGTTTTGAAAAATTGAAAATCGTCACCAATGCAAAGCTTCCTCATGAGGAAGCAAAAACAAAAATTGTTAAATAAGTAGAAGAAAAAAACTTTCGATTTTATTAAACAATATTTTATACATAGAGATTTCTTCTCTAAAAGAAAAGTGAAATTTCATTTATATGAAATTTTTTAGGATTTTTTTAATATTGATATTTTTTAATTATTAATTAATTTTTTTAAATAAAAAAGAGTGCAACAAATTTTTAATTAATTTCTTAATATAAATACTAATTAAAAATATTTTTAAAACTAAACAATACTTTATATTTTTCAACATTTTGTTAATTTTTGAATTAATAATTATTAAAAATGTTATAAAAAACAAAAAATCAATTACAATTTAAAACACTAAATAATACTATTTTAATATTAATTTTTATTTAATTTACGAGAGGCAGAGACGTCATTTTCGATGCTTAAAGACGCCAAAACTCCAAAAGGGAATCGTTTAGGGGTCGAAACTCTTAATTCTATTTTAGTTATTCAATCTGTATTAAAATCACAAAATGAAACCGCGAAAACAATGCAAATTTCGAGAACTCATTTAGAATTAATGGGAGATGACATTTATAAATTTAATGTCGTTAATAATAGAGAAGTAAGATCCTACATAACAAAAGGATATCCATGGGATATTCCTGGGATATCCCACGGGATGTCGGGATATTTTGGAGATATCCCTAGGATATCACATACATCCCTGGGATATCACTTGGATATCCAAATTTCCGTCTCGTAGGTAACCCGCACTGGATATCCCAGGGATATCTTATGCGAGATTTGTCTCCCAGGATTTCGTATACGAGATACCCTACGCGGGATATCTGTGGGATATCCCACATGGAATATAATAAAATTTAGCTGGAAATTTCGAAATCAAATTAAGCTTTATAAATTTTCCAAGCAAACAAAATGATTAAATACACAATTATAGTCATAATAATATTTTATTATTAAATTCTCTTTTAAATAAAAAAGCATTTATATTTTTACATCTCAAAACAAGTTATTTATATATCATCTAGTATCTCTAAGAAAACTTAGTTCTAGTATTTACACCTTTAAAACACATTAACATTATGTTATTGTAGATAAACTTTCAATTAAAAATATAATTAAATAACATTTTTAAATTATTTCAGTCTGAACTCACGAATCTGTCAAACGATTAATTAAAAAATGTTTGAAAGAATTTTTTTATCACTCTGAAATTGAAACAAGTGTTTTACACTTATAGTATAGTTAATTCTCGACAGGTTTATCGGATTGAATCTTAATAGTCGGAGAATTTGTGCCATGATTAGATGAATCTGAGATATTCATTGAATTTTGAAAGTTTATTTCGGTATCCATATGGGGATCATCACTTTCTCCTTCAGTGTCGCTCAAATTAATGGAAAGTCGCTCTTGGTCTGATGCATAAAGATTTTCGCCATCATGCTCACCGTCCTCATCAGGCTTATTGTTTTCTGACTCTCGAAGGTGTCTAGCAGGTGCCTGGCGAAGCCAATGTTTGATAGCTTCTATCACCTCAAGTTCTTTGACTCGACATGATTGGCGAACGGTTTCTATAAGGTTTAATAAAAATTTTGTAAACAAATTTAATTAAAATTTTTATTACAAAAATAATTGATAGATAAATTTTTAATCAGAAAGTCATATTTTGATCCAAGTTTATTTAATTTTCATTAAGATTAAAAATAATTATTATCGTTTTCCTCTTCTTCAATATATTAAAGATAAAGATATAAAAAACGTATGTATTGACTTATATAAAGTATGAATAATTATGTGTAATGAATTATTGCTTACCCATTATTACTGTAGTTAAATGTAGATCTGAGAACTTTAATTTATTTTTTAGTCCCAACCAATTAAATAAACTTCCAATTGCGTTGGTAAAAGCATATTTTATGACTGTATACGTAGTTTCCTTCACATGTCTCCCTCCAAAACCACCGAAGAAAGAAATCTAAACAATAAAAATTATTGGTCCAAATACTGAGAAGATAACAAGTGTCAATAAATTTTTTTTAATATTTAAGAACAATTACCTAGACAAAAAAAAGTTTTGATAATTTCAAAAAAACAAAAACAATAGATTTACCCGTAAAACTGAAATGAAATTATAATCAGAAAGATTAAGAAAGACTCATCAATAATTTTTGATGAAAGAAATATAATTTATATTGATAATTTAACGTAATAGAAGATATAATTATTTAAATTTTTATTAATGACAAGTTTTAACGTCGTAAAAAATGTGAATTTTTTATAGTTTAATATAATTAACTATTTAAAATATTTTTTTAAAGTGAAATTTTAATTATCAAAAAGCTACATACCAATTTTTTAAATTTTAATAATAAAAAATAAAACGTATTTTTGTTTATAAAAAATAATAAAGAATTATTAATGTTAAAAAACGAGACATACACTTTGAAAATAAATATTATTCTAGATAATAATAAAATTAATTTAAAAAAACCTGAACTTGAAAGAGTTATTACGAATGAGGGAAATAGATTAGAGAATAAAACTCACCATATCATTTCTGTATTCTGGTAATGTAAGGTTGTCTTCGATTTTTTGTAAATTATCTAATGTTGCGACTGGAAATTGTGAGCGAAACTGACTTCACCGATCCTTTTTCACATGTTTTTGAATTACTTCTGATTGACACTCTAAAAATCGTTCATTGAAAATGGCACTTTCAGAATGCTTTTCATGAAGTTCATCAATTTTTTCGTTTTAAATGTTTAACATGAATTTTATGTCACTTAAAGACTTAGCGACATTTTTTCGAAATGCTTGATCTATGAAATAAAAAAGAATGAAATGAAAAAATGAAAAATGTATATATTGGATTTTAAATAATTTTGCTTACCATCAGACCAAGAAGTAGTTTTTGCTCGCTTTGGACTGTTCTCGAAAACATTGTTTTTCTTTGGAGAGTAATCATTTGCTTTTGATTTTGTGGAAGATTTTGTGGAAGGCGACTGAACTACTTTTGCACTATTTTCATTGTCAGTTAATCCAAGAGGTGGTTTTGGAAAAAGAGTTAATGTTTTTTTAACTTTTAAAGGACATGTAATCTCGTTTGATAATTTTTTCGTCGATCTTACATGCAAATTGCTGTTAAGATTTTTTGATTTTTTTAATTTCCTCTTTTTCTTTGACTCATAATCGGTATTTACATCTGACTCGTTTTCATAAGCTTTTAATTTTTCCAGTCCCCGCTCAAATGTCCCTAAAATGGAATTTTGTTTAATTGTAGTTATAAAATATTTAATGAAGTACATTTTATTTCCAAGTTAAGTAAAGCAATAATCTATTTTAATAAATATTTCAAAGATTAAGTAAACATAAGTAAATTGATAAACTTGTTTTGCAGAAATTTTAACTGAAGTGAAACTAACATTTATCATTAGGGTCATTCCAGTGAAAACCGTCTAAAGCTGGTTGCTCGATGATTCTGGTGAGTTATTTTCACAAAATTTTTGTTTATTTAGATGAATTTAGCAAAAACATATATATATATATATATATATAAAATAAGCAGTATTCATAATCTATTTTTAATGATTTATACTGAGTTTTCGTAAAATAGGTTATGTTAGACTGCATAGCCAGTTAGAAATTTAAAAAAATATTTAAAAGAATGTAAAATATATTTGGGGCTATAAACCACTAAAATATAATCCAATTTTATTGAATATTATATATTATTACAGAATTTTTTAAAATCATCGAGCAACCAGCTTTAGACGGTTTTCACTGGAATGACCCATTATATAACTTATTGAAAATGTATTATTTTGAAGTAATTTGGTTGATTCTTTAAAAAAAATATAAATTAACAAATTGTGTTACTACGTTGCACTGTAAATATTTTGGTAGTAAATTGAGTAAATGTAATTGTTCTTGTGGTTTAAAAATGTTCTAAACATTAAAAATACAGCAGTATATTAATTAAAATTATATTTTGAATTTGCGCTTGGAATTACTATACGTAAAACCTACAGTGTGAACGAAAATAAATAAACCTATATCTTAACTTAAAATATTATATAATTGTAAACAAAATTTCGTTAATGAATTGTTTACTTCGGCAGTATTGTAAATAAGAATATTTGTTTTGAGATTATATCATGAATTTCATCATTGTTATTACTTAACACAATGCACGTGTTTCTCAGTGAAAACAAAAACTCCGAATTTTACTAATAGATAGAAATTTACGAACAAACATTTTTTTAAAAACTTACACTGTCTAATTCAAAGTACAAAAATTAACAATTATGTATAGTCTTACCCTTTCTCATGATATTTTTATTGAAATGTATGTAAACTTACCGGCTTCTGCAATTTCTTCCACGATGGCTTCTTTCGTCCATGTAGATTCCGGCATCTTTTTCGTTCTCACTGTGTTATAATACGCATACATGGATTTACACGTAGGATACAGAATGTGTTTTTTCGAAGGCGTCATCCACTCTCGGCAGACGATTTGAGGTCCATCGTTAAATAGTATGATTAAATAATCCTTATTCTCCATTTTGATTACCGATTTTTCGATATTTAAAGTGCGCGATACACATGTGAGCACGCCGATTCCCTCACGAAAGATAAAGGCCACGAGGCAACGACAATCATACCAACCATCTAGTCTTAAAATCATAAGTGCTTATTGACGCTTGCGCACTTTCTGCGCGCAATAATGAGCAAGCGCTGATTTGTCAAACTGGCGCGGGCTTATTTAAAATAGCATAATTTAATTCATTACAGATATATAAATTCGAAATAAATAAATCAATAATAATGGTAATAATTTAAAAAAATTATTTTTTTTGGAAAGGAATAAAATAATTATGAAGACAGAAAAACCTTTAAAAAAATAAAATCAATTTTATGAAACTATTTAAATTAAATTAATTTATAAATTTTATTAACCACTTCACTGGCAGGGCGTTCCAAATGGCGTTCCACGCGCCGAGGCCCAGACTGGCAAAAACACCGAAATGGCGTTCCTAATAAAACTTTATTTTTTAAGAGTGTACACTACTTTTAACTTCTACAAAGCAATATTTCTATAGTTTAGACATCAGGGAACAATATTATCACAATAAAAATTTCAGTTTTTGAGATTTTCAATGTTTCTTCGAACGTTGAAATACTCAATTTTTACCACTTTTCAACAAATGGCGTTCCACTTTCTTTCAATTTTTACGCAGTAAAACTCATATTTTTTATTTAAAAAAATGTATTAATATACAATTATATAATAGTATAATGCAATAATTATAATAATAATTATAACAATAATAGTAATTGTTATTATTAATAATTATTATATTTTATTTATCAATTATTTATATTTATTTTTTATTTATTACATTATTATTATAATATAATATTGTATATAAATACATTTTTTTTTAAATAAAAAATATGACTTTTACTGCATAAAAATTGAAAAAAAGTGGAACGCTATTTGTTAAAAAGTGGTAAAAATTGAGTATTTCAACGTTCAAAGAAACATTGAAAATCTCAAAAACTAAAACTTTTATTGTGATAATCTTGTTACCTGATGTCTTAACTATAGAAATATTGCTTTGTAAAAGTTAAAAGTAGTTTACACTCTTAAAAAATAAAGTTTTATTAGGAACGCCATTTCGGTGTTTTTGCCAGTCTGGGCCTCGGCGCGTGGAACGCCATTTGGAACGCCATGCCAGTGAAGTGGTTAATTGTTGCAAAAAATTTTTTTAATATTTTAGCAATATTAAAATATTAATATAACATTTATGAATGATTTAAATAAAATTTTTATATAAAAATTCAAATACCTAAAGATATTTTTTTAGAATAAAAATTTTCAGATGAAAAATTCTAAATTTGCATTGAAAATTCAATTAAAATGGTTTCAGTGATTAAAAAATTATTCTTATCATATTCATAATTGTTATCATGTATTGAAACTATTTTTTATTTATTATTTATAAAAAAATAATAATTTTTATTCGTTAATTTAAAATATCGCAAATTTTTATTTTATTTTTACAAAAACGTATTTAGAATACTTTACAGTTCATGTAACAATGAGCTGACAACATATTCTTCGTTTCCTGCAGGCACAATAATGTATTTTCTGACAATGTGTTTTAAGGGCCATACTTTGCTGTGACTTAAGTTTTTCACAATGTATTCTTGCAGATGATGCCAAGGGCTGTTTGTAAAGATTGCGTCTATTCCTAAAACTTTTTGCAACAATTGCGAGTTCGTTGCGCTTTCGGAAAAGTGAGCGATGTTTTCAATAAGAACAAAATCACCATTTATTAATCCGATACAACTATCTGCCAATTTCGTAATACTTATTTCGAATCCTCGTAAAATTATTTTCTTATATTGCGGTGAATAGGTGTTTTCCAATAGTGGACCTGTACAATGTTCTGAGAGTGGACACAGTTGAACAAGAGCTGCTTTCTCTTCAATTTTCTGATTGGCATTCGACAAAAATTCTTCGTATCGCCGAACTAATTGTTGGAGCGGCTTTTCTCCTTTCCGCATCCATTTCTTCAAATATTGCATGTAATTTTCAAAATTAAACGCGCTAAAATTATCCAATTTCCCAAAAGTTTTGACGTCATCTGCGAGGTGCAGCAAGCCATGCATATTGTGTGAAACATAATGTTCACCAAAAAGTGCAGCCAAAGATTCAACAAAACGGAAAAGAATTTGCTCCGCATAGTCAACGTTTTCCTCATTCTGTACAAAATAATCACTTGACAAAATTCTAATAGCAACATGCAGTGTGTTGAAATGATTGTACAATGTTGTTGGTAATATTTTTTTCAAAACCATGGATCCAGTGTACAACAGGAACTGCCTAAATTCCGTTGCTTTCCAGAATTTTAAATCCTTCAACGATCTCGGCTTTCTTTGAAATTCTTTTGGAATATACTTTCTCAGAAAGCGTAGATTCCTAGACAGTTGTTGAATTTGCCACGTTCGTAGACGATGTTTAGAACGTAAGACTACGTACAAGTAAATCAAAGCTTTTGTACAGCCAAGACAAACAAGGTGCATGTAATCCAAGGGAATATTTTTGACAAGATTGAAATTTGGGATTCGACGCAAACAACAACGTCCAAATTGATGCTTTTTGTCTTGCATATAACGAATGTTTTCATCAGTCCTGTTTCTCAATCGTCTGCGCTTGTGTAGAAAGCAAACTCGATGCATTTTGTATTTTCCTCGTATTTTACATCTGGTACAACTGCAGTATCCTGAATGACCTTTTATATTTAAAATAAAAGCTTTGGCTGGAGCATCAGCAATAAAACTTGAATTTCTTTAAGAAATTCATCCAAGAAATCTTCTGCTAAATGAGGTTTTTCATGCCCAAAGTAGACACCAACAAGAAATACGTCAGAAAAGGGTTCCACGTAACCAAGAATAGGCCAAAATTGTGCTTTTGATGATTTTGATATTGGAACTCCGTCGATGCCAATTTTTAAAAGAACCTTTTTAACTGGTTGATCCGCATGTTTTTTAAGAATATTTACTATTCCATTTTTTAAACCGAAATGATAATACAATCCGGGAGTAAGTTTTTCAACGTTCGTTTTACCAGCTGGAGTACCGAGAAGTGTTCTTGGATCTTTTGGAATATCCTTATGAAAGCATGCGTGATCTTTTAATTTTCGAAGCAAAGGTCTCAATTGCGCATGAGACAAACCGTATTCAATTGACCAATTTTTTAAAAACTGTTTTAAACTTTCCCCTTCAGAAATATTTTCTCTATTAGGAGAATTTTCAAAATCAACGTCAACGTCAACGTCGTTTGATTTATTAATATTTGAGTCGAAAGTGAAGGCAGGTGTCGTACGTACATTACATGTATCGTGATAATTTGTACCATTTTCTGCTTCTTCATTTTCTGATGAGTACTCATCTGATGATGTATCGTTTGAAAGTGGAGGATTGTGAAGAAAAGAATGAAAACTAAGATTTCGAGACGATCGG